TCTCTCTCTCTCTCTGTCGCTCCCTCCCTCCCTGCCTCCGTCCCTGCCTCGCTCTCGCTCTCGCTGTCTCCCTCTCCCTCTCTGTATCTCAGTTTTTACACACTCGTCTTTTCATCTGAATTTATGTGCACGTGTTGTCGCATGTATGTACGCATGCATGCATATATGGATGGATGTATGCATTCATGAATGCATGTACGCACTTGTATCACCAGACTGTATCTATATAAGCAAATATAGTGCTGAAGCGGTTGTTCACGTAGTTTTCGATGGCCCTTCGCGTGCTAACTCTAGCTCTCATGACGTATGTCGTATGTATCATGGGTATGCGTCTGATCCGAGCAAGCACGTGTGTGCAAGTGCTGCGAGCAGGACTCGTTCCTGAACTTGTACTGCTACTTGCTAGGTGTACTGGCCTAACTCCTGCCAGTACTGCTACTACTACTGCTTCCGCGGCTGCTGTTGCTAGTGCTACGGCGGTGGCGACGATGGTAACCACGACGAGGACGACGACGCCGACGACGACCGACTGCCGACTACCACCACACTGCCGACCACCGGCTATGACGAGCACGAGGAGGGGAGGAGGAGCAGGACATGATGAGGTGACGAGGAGGAGGGGAGGAGGAGGACACGATGAGCTGACGAGGTGACGAGGAGGGTTCTGACGTGGCGCTGCCATTGGGTAGCTTCTCTCGGCTACCTTGGCCATGAAATCCACGACCGGCAGCTCTACATCTTCTTGGAATACATGCCGGAAGGTGGTCGAAGCGTCGGGACCAGGTCAAGGCTGTTGTGAGTCCGGACGCTCCCCGGACAGGCACTCTCAAGGACAAGATAGAGGAGTTTGGTGCTTTTCAGGAGGTGGGCAGCATATGCCATGCGCCATGTTGGGTTATGCTGGATGTGCCAGATTTTGTGAAGCATGTCGAGTTTGATGCAGGACCTTTGTGCTGCTTTGGGCGAACAGGTGTCGTTCCCAGCAGTTCCATGCAATTGTCATTTCAGATGGTTGTCGCTGTGGTGCATCCTGTTTACAGCGGTTCAGCCTGCTTGTGGCTACATCGATTTCTTCGGGTGCGCTTGAACTGTATTCCGGCTGGTCGAGGTGGTGAAAGGCTTGGAATACCTGCACGAGCAGCAGGCCCTTGTGCACAAGCGTGAGCCCTTGCAAGCATTGAGCGGTGGCTTTTGTGGAAGGTCCTGCACCGAGATTTAAAGTGCAGCAACCTTCTGCTCGATGTCTCGGGCAGAGCCGCTGGACTGAAGCAGCACATCCTTAACGTGACCGTGCCGGACCCTCGACACCGTCATGTGTCTGTACGCCCTTGTCCCAGGTCAAAATTTCCGACTTTGGTTGTGCCCGGTTCGCACCTAACGTGTGAGGACAAGTGCTGACCGAGTCGCAGAATGTCCGTTCCCGTGCGAATCCTCGCTCTTAACTTCACCTGAAATCTCAGGTTCACGCTGGATCGCAAAGGAGGTCCTGGCGATGTCTTTGGTCGGAAGTCCATTCTGGCGCCCTGGCCGAGCATTCCATCCTTTGGCTGTTTCCCTGCACTCTGCCGTCTTCGCTAACTCCTGGAGCAGACCACGGCAGGCTCCCACCCGAGCTGCTCATCGGTGCTCCCTACGACCAGAGTGCCGTTTGGCACGGGGAGTCACGTTCCAGGGGTTGGTTCCGTTGCGGGGCGTTGTCATCCTGGCGTCCTCAAGCCCCCACCCCACTTAGCAGAATTCGCTAGAGCGACTAGACGAGGCTAGATCAGCTCAGGTGTGAATGAGGCTTGCGTCTCGCCAATCCTTGCCCTTGCTCAGGCCGACATTTGGTCTTTCGGCTGCTCTGTCATCGAACTCTTGACGGCTCTGCGACCTTGGGCAACCCAGGCCAGTCGGATGAGCAGAGAGGGCCAGCGGCTGATGTCCACACAGACACACAGACATTCCGGGGAGGTCACTGCCGACAATCCCCTCGCTGCTGCGCATCAGATTCGTGTCCTGACGGAGAAGGGAGAGAGGCCCTCGCTCCCAGCAGCTTGGACTCAGCTTGACAAGGGCTCCCCCTCCAAAGTGCCCCCCTTTCTGCCGCGTATGCCGCTTAGCGTCATCTTTCAGGAGTCTTCCATGTACGTCTCGGAGCCTTGTCGCGACTTCCTCTACACTGCCTGCCTGCGCTGCACAGCCACGGAGAGACTCGCGGCGACCCGGAAGCTGAAAGAAGGTCGAAGCGAAGTTGGGAGGAAGGGTCCAGGTTTTGCGCAAGGTAGCGCAGTGCCTAGGGGCAGTGTCAATACGAGTGTTGGCAGCCGGAGCTGAGCAAAATTCCGTGATAAACCGGTGAAAGACGAGCCCGCACTGGTCAGGTCAGGTAGCGGTCCGGACTGCAACAACAGTCCTTTATGATGGCTGCATGCATGTGGGAGCAGTAGCAAGGCTGTGCTGCATGTCGTAAGCACCACAGCGCTCCCCCCGGGCAAAAAGGAGCAGCCAACCCAAGCACACCCCGGGCTGTACGAAATCCGAGAAGACGGTCAATCAACGCAAGCGAGATTCTGTGAGATGGCGATGCGTGCCGAGGCCAAAGATCTCCTGCAGCATCCATGGCTGCGCCGCAAATGATCCATACAGCTGATCCAGGCTGCAGCCGAAGTTGCTGCAGAGCTGGCTCGTTCGGGGGCGGCGCTTGCCCCCAGAAGAAGCTCCGCCAGTGTGCGGTTTCACGTGTTAATCCTCCCAGGCGATTCGTGGGCTGACAGCTTCAAAGCAATCTGTTGGGGTGTGGAAACAGTGGAAACCACATTAATAGCGATTCTGCTGTCTGCCTGCCATCGCGAGCTCATTAAATCTCCAAGTCGCAGAGTGCAGTCGCGATTGACTGGTGACATTTCTTTCTCCTGACAGAGACAACGTGCTCGAAATTTGCATGCTCAGTTGCTGGTCCGCGAATGCCAGCGACGCGTAGGTGCAGCCTCGAATGAGGCCTTGCTTCTCGAGCGTGATTGGGCCAGAGGTCAAACAGCATCCTGCCTAGGGCAGCACCACTCGGCTTCCTTGCTTGCTGTCCGATTTGCGGTCACATCCCAGTACTTTGCTGCTGACAGCATCGGTCATGCAATCTTGAAACTAAAGCTCAAGCCGGAATTCGGCATGAAGACAGGGCCCGGAGCGTCACTGTACCTGGAGTTGTCTGCATTCTTGTTTTCACAGTCTGTTTACGGTTCGCTGACGACAACGCCAACAACAGGCATTGATGCTCAAGTGGTTGCCCTGTAGCTGCTAGCTAACCGTAACCGACACGGAGATTGCAATTGATCCGCCCGTAGAAATGGCCATTCGCATGTCAGAGCTTTGGATCGGCTACTGGGCACAAACCCGGCCAAGCACCATCTTGTTCCGTTGCGCATGCCTCGCGACCCTAAGCCCGTCTACGACTGAGGCTCTTACAGAGGCGTGCGATTGAGCTGAACATCGCCAGGCTCGCTTTTGAAGGTCCCGTGGCTCCCAGGGGCAGTTGTGAGTTGTGAGCCTCCCAGTGACGTTCGAGCTGAGTTCTGCGCCCCGCGTCCTGCATCCGACCAACTCCCCTGGCTGACTCGACGTTGCAGCTCTTTGCCGTCGCGGAGTCGGCGCCAGGTGAGCGATCATGGAGCTGATGGTGGAGTGATCACGCTATTTATTTCTGGTGCCTTGGGATCTTGCTGGGACGTCTTCTGCAGCTTTTCAGGCTTTGTAGGAGCCTTGAGGACAGTTCGCCTCAATGTATACAGCGCTTCGGCACGCGGCACCATACCGCGTCAACTCTTGATGTTTCTAAAGTTTACATAGACTTGCAGATTTGCAGCCAAGGCCGCGACTCGTTGCAGCCCAAACATTGGTCCAAACCCTCCGCACCTGGATCCAGATACCACCCGAATCCCAACCCCACATAGACCCCTGGACATGACGCTTGCGTACTAAGGACTACATGCAGTGTCTGCATTGTGCTTAGGCTTTACCCACATGCTGTCACAAACCCCCTCAATTTGAGCTTCACAGACAAACGCCGGTACTTATCAACCCCATGTCAGGCCCGATGATGATTCCGCACCATACAACCTCCGTGACAGACCCCTGCAAAATCTCACTTACTTGGCATCTGTGGGCAGCCTTGAGGCCTTGGAAGGAGAAAACGGACCCCCAATGATGCTGATGATGCTGGCTCAGCCGGCCCATGTCCTTGGTAAGCGACTACAAACAGAGATGCCTTGAATAGCGATTCAACCACTGCTTGACTTCCGATAGCCACATTATCTCACTTGCAGTCTAGCGGCTAGGCGCTTCTGGGGCTTCGCGGTGCAGAGGACTGTTCGAGGCGATGGTGAGTTGTGCTGTGATTGGTTTTGCCGGTGCCAATGCCAATTCTGAGTCAATTGTGACACACTCTGAAACAGGCTACGGCCTGCTAGAACTCAGAACTGCATCTTATGAATCCTGCCAGGTTTGACAGGTGCCAGGCGTGCAGAGACTCTGAGTTGGTCTCCCAGCTCCGGTGCATGCAAGGCCGGGCCGGTGTCGGGAAGGATGGTGCTCTACACGACTCTGCAGCCCAAACCAGTCATTTGCCGACACAAGCCGGAGTTATTCTTTCTACAGCCGCAAGTCCTGAAGGACAGAAGGGCTGTGAGTCGTCCGAGCGATCCCCTGAGCTGTGTTGTGTGTCAACTTTCAACAAACCCTTTGTCGCTATGGATGAGTCCTGAACTTTAATGTCAGACCCTTCAAGTCGCAAGCGTTCTTCGCAAATCTGGAAGAGAAAAGAGCAGCCATAATTTCAACAGCAGTCAGGACACCGGCGCCCTGAACTATCCTCATAGTCCACGCCACGGTACCACAAGAAGCATGAAAGTCATAGAAACATGCAGCAAGATGCATCCTGCAGTCCTTTGGTCCGACCGGTGACGCTCCCTGGGCTCCCTCCGAATCTTCATCTCAGGAGCTCGCGGGGCATCGCGAAATCGGGTTCAGAACTTGGGATTCGGGCATGAAGGATCTTTTTTTGGGAGTTCGATTGCACAGGTGTTCGAAGGTTTTTCTTGCCTTCAAAGGATTTGGTTTCGGAGCATGTTGTTTTGTTTTATAATATTTCTTTTTTTGAGGGAGGGGAGGGGTGGGATGGTGGTTCGGAGCAATTCTCATGTGAGTGCCTGCGCAACGAGCAGGTACTCTCCACATCACGACCTCATGGAGAAGTTTGGTGCCCGAGAGGAGGCTGGCAGCATTTGCGTCATGCTGCTGTTCTTGCGTGCATGTGCTCTCGGTGTCCCTGCACTGCTTTGCAAATCCCCTGCCGGCACTTTCTGCGGAAGTGTTCACTTGGAATTTCTGATTCTGGCATGGGCATTTTACAGTCGGCTCAAGCACCATACCTTTCGGGAGGAACAGATCAGCTCGTTCTTTTGCGCCATGCACCTCGGAGCTTGGATCTGTTTCTCAGTGCTGGCCGTCGTGAAGGCCCAGCAGCCCGGGGATGATGGCTTCGACGAGCTCGCCTTTGGCATCGCCATGGCCATTTTGGTGGATGTGCTCCTTCTCTTGGCCTGCATCTGGCACCTCTATACCAGAGGTGAGGATGCCCCGGTCTACGGAAAGCCCGTGGTGCCCGAAGGCCAGGACCCCAAGGACTTCGCCATCCTCGAGCTGGAGGCCGCCTTCGATGCCAAGAATGCACCTCGCTATGCGGGGGCCTTGGAACTGGCATTGGAGGTGAACGTTGACTCTGGAAGGATCCCGTGTGTCTACAGCTTGCAAAAGCAACTGGAGACCTTCAAGATCCCCGTTGTCCAACGAGGTCCCAGTGTCATCACGGCCCAGCTGTGCTTCATTCTGGATTACACCGGCAGCATGAAGGAGCAGATCAACCAGGCCGAGAAAAGCTGCAGAGGCATTGTGGACGCCGTGAAGGCCATGAAGTTCACTCACATGCCCGAGGCATCCGTGGACTTGGAAATGGCAGCCGTCGGCTACAACGACTGGGATGACAAGACAGCCAGCTTGAAGAGGCCTGTTGTCTTTGCCTATGGCGGCAAAGAGATCATGAAGCGGCATGATCCCAACATCAGCCTTGACGAGTTCAACTTGGGTGGCAAGTTCACCAAGGACACCGATGACATCATGAAGTGGATTAAGCAGCCACTTGGAAATGGTGGCTCCGTCCCAGAGGAGCTTACAGGGGCCTTGATTGCTGCCAGTCACCTGCCATGGAGTGCCAAGGAGCGCTTGGCAGTGGTGATCACTGATGCCCCGTGCCACGGTAAGGCCTACAGCAACGATAGCCACGACCCTTTCTGCGACAAGGACACGGGCCTGACATGCACCGGAAAGCCCGAAGTACCCCTGCTGAAGCTGAAGGAACAGAACGTTCAGGTTGTCATTCTGCACACGGGGAACGCCGGTGCAGTGAAGATGTGTCAGAAGCTTCTGCAAACTTCGCCAACTCTGATCTCTGAGAAGGTGTCACCTTCGCAAACTGCAGACCGCCTCGTGAACGCCATCAACACCAAGCTTGAGCTGAGTCCCTTGAGCTACGTCCTAAAGCCTTTCACCGGGAGCAAGGGCTTGAGCGACTTGGCGGCGGGCCACGATGTGGAGCTAAAGATGGGGAGTGAGACCGCGAAGCAGCGAGTCGGAGCGGATGGGCTGATCTGGCTTGGAAAGCCCTCCGCCACGCCCTCGCTCACCGTCTCTCGCCCCGGTAGTGCAGCTTTGGACGAGTGGTGGGAAGCACAGACTGCGGAGCAGGAGCTGTCTCGCAGCTTTGATGCGGAGCAGGTCTACATGCTCAAGATGCCTTGCAAGAAACGGGAGCAGGGCGACGAGGGGAACATGGTCTGAAGATGCCTTCGCAAAGCTTCCTTGGGCCTAATCAAAGGGTGCATCCTGTTGAACTTGTTTTTTGGCCCGATAAATTGCGGACCACGACCACTTCTGTACACTTGGACTGGATTGGCTAAGGCCAAAGCTATTTGCGATGGCAAAACACGGCAGGTTCTGCACTGATGCGAGTGCAGTCAGCACAACTGTCCATGCAAGACGCTTGTATAATGAAGAAGTGCTGAATATTGCCGAAAGTCCTACAGCGACTTCTTGCGAACCGCGACTTCCTACCTTGTGGCGAGGCGCTGCTGCAGAACTGACAAGGCATCTTGCTTGCAGCTTCTTCCTGCTGCTTCCGTGTCCTAGAATTCGTACTTCGAGAGATGGGTGATGCTGCCTGAACAGGGGTCGATGAAACTTTCATACCCTGCATACCGTAGCCTTTTCACTGCTCTTTTAGTCCTTCTCGGCTACCGGAATTGGTCGCAGCACTGCAGCCAGGAGCCATGCCAAGGACGTGCACAGCTTCCTTGAGCCTTTGCCACCTGTGTGGCCTTTTTTTGTTATGGTTATCCATGTCGGATGCCTCAACAGAGACCACGGACAGCACCGATAAGTTTTGCACACGTGGCACCAACAGTTCACAGTTGGAGACCCCCATGAACGCTTTCATGCAGCTGTCCGCTAGGGAACGGCAGAAAGCAGGGAGGTGGAGACATTGGCCAATGTGGTCAAGGTGGCCAAGGTGGCCGGGGCGTGGGAGACTCTGCAAGATGGTGCAGGATCCACTCGGGTCTGGGGCGTCATGCAAAAAGGGTCTCGCTTGCAAGGACCCGATGTATGCCATCTGCTGCACGGATGTCTGCGAGCTGCACGTTGCGGCATCCTGTAGCGACTACAGCCCAGCTTGCCAGGCGCGCATGGCTGCCTGTGAGATGGCCAGCTTCATGGCGGACGATGCCTTTCTCCTGACGCAACCGGCCCTTTTCGTTGCACCGAAGACCTATGAGGAGAACCAGATCTTCGATGCCCGAAGCATGGGCGGCTACAGCACAATTGTGTGGAAGTTGCTGCAAGACCTCACGAGCTTGTGCTACCAGCTTGATTGGCTCCGGAATGACAGTCCCCTCTTGGCCAAGCTCAGCAACTACACCGGGTGCCAGAACATCGAGGAGTCCTGCCCTAATAGCCAGGCGAGCTTCGAGACATGGCCGGCAGGTGCCAAAGCCCTTGCAGGGTCGACAAAAGCATTGATCGCAGGTGGTGAGCAGCTGGCGGGAAGGATCATGACTCGTATGGCGGGATTTGAGGCCGGGCTTGGGGGAGTTATCTTGTTTACCACCATCAACCTTGCATTGTCGGGCACGTCCGGCTCTCCCACGAATCCGTGCACCTATGCCCACTCAGCAGATTGGGGGAAGTGCGTATATGGACAGATTGCAAAGTATGTGGAGCAGTATGTCACCTCCTACGTAGCCAAGGAACTTCAGCACTATACGAACGAAGTGGCAAAGACACGGCTGGCAGTATGGCACTTGAAGCTGAACGACATCAACAACAGTGTTGCAACTGACGCCAGGGAGCCAGGGCAAAACACAACAAGTAATTGGCTGGCGGACTTTAAGGACCCAGTGCAAGAGCTGCGCTTTGACATGGACGGCGAGTGGTTTAGATTTTTGCTGACCCCGGTCCTGCCGCAGTTCTTGAACTTGCACCTGACTGTGGAGAGCCTCGCACTCAAAGCAAAGCAACTTCGTGACGCTGCATCTATTCAGAAGCTGGCCAGAGACTCACTGTGCCACGCCAAGATGGTGCTGAAACGTGCAGCCAACCTTACACAGCGACGAGTGGCAAGCCTGCAAAGCCTCATGGTGCATCGAAAGCATCGTGTGTATTGGTACATTTATGGACCTGGCCGTGCCCATTTCCCCATCTTGGAAAAATACGATTGTCCATACTACTACCCTGGGCAGTTCGATGCAGAGTGTACAAGCGAGGAAGCAATGGATAAATCCACGTCTACCTGTACTCCAAAGCCTCCATCCCTATCTCCCTGTAAACACTCCCGTTACGACGGCTTGGGAATACCCATTCCGTTTCTGGGCAAGAAAGGGCGGTGTGCCCCTTGGGAGACCACCTCTCCTGGTGGGGCGGCTGCGAGGAGTTGGTTCTGTCACCGGGCCAAGGTTCTTGCCACGCAGCAGAAGGTCTTCGAGCAGTGGCTGCAACCCATCTGGAGCTGGATCAACATCACCCGGGCCTTGCAGCAGGCCAAAGAGGATGGGGAAGTCCCGAAGTGGTCCGAGCGGTCCTGGAAGTGTTACGACGAGGCCAACTTGAAGAGCGACCTGGGCTTATTGGGCCGCATGGCATCCTGCCCTTTCAGGATTCTCACGACCTCCAGCTTCGAAAAAAAGCCCTCCTACAGGGACAGGGGCACAGGTGCAGCAACCGACCTGGGCATGTGGAGGCCCAAGAGAGGGAGCAAGGGCCTCTACTATCTCGGTGACTATTGCAAGGACAGCCATGCCATGGACGTGCACCTGACGGCCATGCTCTTGCAACACATGCCGGGACACGAGGATTCCCTGAAAGCCCCGGTCTCCATGACCTTCAACTGGAATGACCTCCACACCCGTGGTTACCATGATGGCGGCTTGTTCACACCGGGTTGCGAAGAGGGCTACCGCCCGGTGGGGAGCGTCGGTGAGCAGGATCTGCCTGATAAGCGGGCAGGGCCTCACAACCCTCCATCACCCAGCCGATTCAATGGCCTGGTGTGTGTGTGTGTGTGAAGGCAGAATACACGGAATCAAGGCTACCGTAAGAATCTGTTTTGATAGGCGAGTATAAGCAGACTATACTCTGACTACACAGCATGTCTCGGAGTCCATGCCGCTCCAGCATCCAAGGAAGAGGTGCATCTCACCAAGGCCGACTGGATGTGGACGGACCATAACAGTGGCGGGCATTATTCTGGCGCCGTCTTTGTAGGCCCTGTCTACATGACGGCAAGTGGCGTCTTGGTCTACGGTCCTTGCCACGCTGCCCGGGGCCACCCCTTCCACTACACGGTGTATCGTGTCAAAGAGTCCCTGGTTAGGTGGTGCACGGGCATGCCGGCAGGGTGAGCGTGAGCAAACTCTCAGCCCTTGAAATCGCATTGCAAGCGCAAGCGGAGGAGGGAGGGCTGGGACTGATTCGGCTATGCTGGGAAACCAGGTGAGCCGATCGAGTTCAAAACTGAGTGAGTGAGAGACTGTCTTACAGTTTAAGCAGTTTAGGTGCAAGTAGACTTCGGCCTCAGCAGGTCTAGTCCGGATGAGTGTGGCAAAGACCGAGCCTGAGGCCGCGCCAAGCAAATTCAGCCTAGGTCTCGCAAGGCGAGGATGTCGTGACATTTCGTGTCGATGCACTGGGGCCTTGTATTGGCTTGGGGGCAGCGACCGAAAGGCGATCGACTGGACGGGCAAGAGTGGGCCAATTCGTAAGGGCCGTCCATGGAGTTCTATTGATCTCTGTTGTCAAGATTTCCACTCTTCGGCTGTGTACCGTCTTTACACATGGAACCTGCATGCCTCTCAGACATGGTCAAGCAATGAGAGTCTTCAGGTTCACGGTGCACATCATTCTGTTTCATTGGCCGTGCTCCCAGGTTTCATGTTCCGGTAGGTTTTCATGCGAACGATCTTCAGTCCAGTGCGCAATCGAGCACAACATATCTGTCACGAGTATGGCTTCGATACCGTAGTCCGACACTATCAGATATCAGGGGATCGAGCCAAACCCTGCACAGCATTACTCATGCAATGTTCGGTGTGGCAAAGACTGAGCCTGAGGCCGCACCAAGCAGATTGAGCCTAGGTCTCGCAAGGCGAGGATGTCATTGATGTCATGCAAAAACAGGTGGTGCGTGTTCAATCAGCAGAGGTATCCATGAAACATGTTTGCAGCGCTTTCAGAACTGCAGTGTACGGTCAACGATGGTGCCAGCAGGAAGAGCTGGTGTGCTTTCATTTGTAGGCTTAACACTCAGCCTCCTTATCCCCTGAGCAGCTGCTGTTCGCATCTTCTCTGCCAGGCAAATTCAGCTCGCGTGGCCTAGCATCGAATGATGCCAGGACGTCGTGCCAGATGGCCGTGGTGATGCATCACAGGCTGCTCAGCAGCCTGTAACATCAGTGCTTTTTTGGTTGATACCACTGTCAGCGGGGCCTGTGGACCAAAGTGCAAAGGCTTGTCCTTGAGTTGCATGCAGTTCTGCCGGAACATCGCGGGGCATATGCCACGCACCTTTAAGCAGCGGCAGTCTAGTCAGGTCCAAGATATCATTCAATATTCTGTGGCATCGGTCTACTCGATTGGCCGCAGACCCAGCTTTGGATCTGATGAGACTTCTGCAGTCAGCTCAAGTTGCTTGTCATGAGGAAATAACCGCAAAGGGCATTCTGCATATTTAAAGGATCGGCTTGTGTTCATTTGCCAAATACCGGGCGACAATGTTTGCAATCTGCGGGCACATTGACCGTGCTTCCACGCAGCTCTTTGACAGCTTCGTTGTTAGCTGCGCACCCCGCATTCACTCTCAGAGCAGATCTCACAGGCGAGGTGATTCCTTTTCAGCTGTGAGACGTAGTATGCACGTCTAAGAAGGGGTAGCGAGTGGATGATCGAATACTGGCGGTTTTGATGAATGGCCCTCGCAGGCCCTCTTGCAGAATGGCGGCCGGTGACGACGGGATAGAGGAGTTATTGCGGGAAGCACGGCATGCCACGCTAGCGTTTCCATTTGGCAGATGGGTTAACCAACACTGTTCCTTCGAGATCACCCTCGAGGGCACATTTGAGCAAAGGGCAGGGCAACGGACGATCCGCGGCCAACTCCGGAAAGACGCCAAGAATCCCTGGAGGCCCTGACTAAGGGGAATGTATTGCGTGCCCTCGAAAGCTTGTGAACTCCGGAAAAACAGTACTACTTTAGAACTGCAGGTGGAACGGCGAGCTCACGGGCGACAGACAGATAACTTTCGATTTGACGGAGGATTGCTTGTTGAGAGGACTTTGCCGCTTCAGCGATGGCAAGGAACTCCGTACTCGTTCAGATCATGCCGGTTTGCACGATCTCATGCACGAGCTGCCGAATGCGAAGAACTCGTGGGAATCGACATTGAATGGCATCATTGAGTGTGCCCTTGGCGACACCTACCTTGCAGATGACACACTCCTGAGATGCGTACAGGCAATTCACGAGGTCTTCCAGCTGGTTGATGGGTTCAACACCAGATACAAAGCTCATAAACGCTTTGACAATCCCGAGTTTGATGCATTCATGCAGCAGGTTGCGGAGTCCACCTCTAAAGTCATCCGTACCTCAAGCCGATCTGCCCGCCTTGTGCTGTCTACACACTTCATCAGGTGCTTATTTCAGCGTCTGGTGTACATCAGCAAGAGAACGTACTACCTCTGGAGAGAGACAACCGTCTACGGCGCATTGAAACATTGCCGTGATTGCTACGGCGAGATGCTTCGTGCATCACAGGGTAAGCTTCATGCACTCATGGGGAATCTGGGAGAGCGCAATCTGCAACTCCTTCGAAGACAGCTCGAAGCCCTTGCCGAGCGCGAGGAAGAGGAAGTCAAAGAGCTGCCGTATGCACGTTTACTGGAGATGGCAGCTGAGATTTCAACACGCCTGCATCAAGCACTTCCATTGACAGATGGTGATTTCAACTTGGAGTATTTGTTGTATTCCAGTGCGAATCAAGCACCGGACAGAGCGACTTTTCATATTGAAGTTGCGCCTTACATGGGCTTGGCTGCTACGAGTGCCTGTGACCAGAAGGAAGCTGCCGCACGCTTGGCAGACTCCTGGACTGAAGAGAGCCGCACATGCCCCGCATAACGCCGCATAATTTCCAAGTTTGTTTCATCTCATGCAGCTGTGCCAAGGAATGCATACAGAAGGTGAACGGCTCTCTGTCGGGAGGAGACGGCTGTGCTGCAATCCTCAAGCTGGCCGAAGACTGCTGCGAAGGTCGCTGCACGCCCGCCTGCACTCACCGACCCACCCCCTGCAATCTACAAGGATGTCTCAGCAAGTGTAGCAGATCGTTCAATCTAGACAGAAGTCATGCATGTTCATGTGCAGTCTTGCATGAAACGTGTGTTAATTGTTGAGGTGCCGACAAGGGAGAACTATTCGGTGCTGTTGTTTCTCGCCTCTGCGCGGTCTCGGATGCACTGAAGCAGTGCGTGCTTCAACCGGAACGCCACGATACCTTGCTGCAATCAAGCTCTGTCGCCAAGTGTCATCGTGATGTCGTTAGCTTGCCAGCACATGCCAAACAATGGCCAGATCAAAGCCTCAGGACGCCGGAAAGAGATTCACGTCCAGCATACTGTTGCCGCTCTTACGTGCCCGGCACTTTGATCCACCGAACCTGCAGCAATTGCTGGTTTGGGCAGTCACCCTGCAGCTCGAGCGGCACTGGCCATGTCAAGAGGTATTGTGCTTCCTGCGGAGCGTGTGGCGGGAGGTCCTCGTATCTGGGAATGCCAGCATGTTCGAGATGGATTCGCTGAAGGAGCATTTTGTCCAGCAGCTGCGGAATCACTCGGCATTAGCAGTCACCCTCACAGACTCGTGCAAAAGCATCCCGCGTGTGATCAACAAGATGTTGGTGGAATTGGCCCGTGCAGACTGGATGGATGCAGAAGTACGATGCAATGCCAGCATGGTGCTCGTTCGGCAAGGCGGCAGCCAATGCCCTTTGGACGTGAACCAGTGGGCAGAGCTGCTAGAGAGCTATGCCGGAGCTCGTCGACGCCCAGAGCTCCTGCAGTCGGCAATGCAGAGTCTCAAGCCACTTCGAGGCATTTCGGGGATTCAGGAAGATGTTTTGGACACGCTTGGACCGCCTGCAGTGCTTCTCAGCAGTCGGTAACACCAGATCAGCTAAGGGTGAATGTCAAGGATATCCACAAGCTGCTCATGCGCTGCCCAGATGCCTGTCAAACAGAGGCTTGGAATGCTGTGCAGCACACTTGTGCGTGCAGTAACAATCGCGAACGGCGCACAGCTGCCTTCAGCACTCTGGCTCGACGCATCTTCGACGTCTAAGCTTTAAACCTAGCATCCCTTGTGCCTCGACGGTCATGTCCTTCATCGGCGCCTCGACGGTTGCGCAGCATCTGACCGACACCCTGGCGGCGGGTCGGCACATGGGGTATGCACCAGTGGTGGGGCTGCTGTCGGCGTATCAGGTTGCTGATCTCAACGACGCCGCTTCCGCGGAGGATGCGCAGCCATTCGAAAAGTTTGTGGCTGGCGCCGCTGGGACGATGAGCAGGCGGCGCCTGTCTGGTGATGGGTGGCACCGGCGGCCTTGGGGACATTCCGAAGGAGCCCGGCGACATCGACGTGGAGGAGCAGACCAGGCCTCCCCTCAGCGTTGCACCTGCATGGCACCTCCGGCGAGATATTCGACATCGCCAAGAGCGGCGACCGCAGCTTCTACCGATGCGTTCCCGCCCCCCGACGCCCAAGACAGCCAACCATGCACTGTAAGGCGAAAGCCACGGCGCTCCTGACGTCCAGAGCAGACCCACTTCAGTCGGCGGTGGCTATTATATCCATGTCGGCAACTGCAACCCAGCTTGATCAGTCTCGGGACGGCGCCAATGCGGAGGAGATTTTTGCGGGCGCTGAGGGTGCACGCTGGGGCCAGCGAGTTTTTTGGGGCGGCGTCCGCAGGCATTCTGGCGCAGGTCTTTGGGTTCCTCCAAAATGAGGGACATGTCCGTAGTCCGTAGGCCTTTGCTGGTTCTCGGCGGACTACCGCTATTTTGCGGCGTGGCGGGGCCCTTGAAACAGGTTGCCGAGGCCACGACCTGGCTCGCATCCGGGTGTTTGAGGACTCGGCCGAGGACACGGCGACATGGATGGCCCAGTCGCCCTGCAGTGCAGGCTATTCGACGCCGGGCAAGCCGGCGCTGACACAGGTCCCGGTCACATGGGAGCCTCACCACCGACGACCTGACTTCCACATGACGGGCGCGCTATGCCCGGACCAAAGTGGAAGCGCACTGACGACAGGTACAGACACCCGGTGTCGATTGATGCCCTGAGACAGGTCAATCAATGCCGACTACATTCGCCAAAGGACAGCGGCGCCCCAGGTCGGCGAGCACACGGAGACCTTGCTCCAGCAGCTCATCGACAAGGTCAAGCTCGCAGAGTTGTGGGCCCGACGCGCGTGCCGGTGGCTCAAGGTGCGGGCGGCGACGCTGCCGTGGATCGACGGGGCTGGTGGAACCGCCGCCAGGCGAGGTCTGCCTGGCGACGAGCATTGGGAATATCAGGGGCGAGCATTGGCGGCGGTCGGCCACAAATCGACGATCCCAGCAGCCGACGTGCCAACCCACCACTTCGTGGGCAGCTTTGTGTACCTGGCCCGACGCATGGCGGGCGACGGAGTCCTGCTGATCTTCGGGCACGACTTGCTGAACGCATGCCGATGCGCGGGACTGACGTTATGCTGGTACCACCTCGCGATGAACTTCGGCGCCACGGCGTCGGTGTAGAACTTCAACAGGGGAGGCGACGCACACGAACAGCTATTGCGAGGCGAGGCCTCCGGAGCTATTAGGCGAGTCGGCGGCCGAGTGTGCCGAGTCCTTCGAGAAGCTCTTCGCGGCGGGGGTTCCGCATCAAGGTCTCCAAGTCGCAGCCGGCGGAGCCAAAACGTGGTACAGGGAGTTTTGTTCGATGATGTCGAGGTGTCCCGGCAGGGGTTCGTGGTTAGCCCGACCCCTTGCGAGGTTGCGGCACATTCAAGCCCGACGAGGCGCAGAAGGGCCGCCTGCATTCCTCACCCAAGCAGTTTTCGGCGCTGTGGGGAAAGCCCCCGACCAAGACTGTCTATGCCCGGGCGGCGGACACATCAGCACATTCCAACGACGGCCTTTCCGTGGGTCTCAGGTCGGCGCTGGTGTCGCTGTCCCACATCCTGCCGACGGTCAACCTCCCAAGTTCATCCCGTTCTTCCTCGACGACCATCCACGGCGGTGCTCTACGCGGACGCCTTCTTCCTGAACGGCGAGATGCGGCACAAGGCAGGCCATGTCCCACGACGGCCGACGCATCCCGACCCAACCGTGCCAACAACGGCTGGGGACTCGTGGTTCGGCTCGGCGGAGCCGTCTTCTATGACCACGGTGTGGTACCACAATGGCGCGTGGTGGGGCTGGGTGCGCCGGGTTGTGCAGATGCGCCCCCGGCGCCGGCTGTGGGACCTGAACCTGCGTGCCGAACGGTGCTGCAGTGCTACATATCCACACGACGAAGAAAACAGTCGTCATCTGAGCTTGGAGTGCGGCGATTGTTGTGTAGCACACTTGTGTGCGCAGTATACCAATCGCGAACGGCGTAGCTGCCTTAATCAGCACTCTGGCTATCTCTGGCTCGACGCGTCTTCGACGTCTAAAGGTTTTTATAAACCCACCTTTGCCACCTTATGAGATGCGGGCCTGCCGGCTGTAGGACCTGAACCTGCGCGCCGAACGGCGCCTGCAGCGGTACATATCCACACGACGAAGAAAAAGAGTCGTCCAGTTTTGGCGTCTGAGCTAGGAGTGCGGCGATTGTTTTCCTTTAACCGTCAATACTTCTGTTTACAAGATTTCTTGTGCCAGGATGCTCGGCGACGAATTGAGGGAGCGATACATGAAGCCCAGAGTTGGAGCATCGAACTTGCTGAACTCTGCAGCTGGGCATGCAGATCATGATTCGCAGCTCGATGTCTGTGACCCTTGTGACTTCTCGTCATCTCTGCGTGTGCCAGGTCGGTGGTATGAAGCACGCACTGCTTGCCACTGGGTGCCGGCGATGTTCCTGCGGTGCTGGGTCCCGGAGCTGTCCGATGCTCCAGCGGAGTCGTCCAGAGAGAAAGATTTCTTGGCGTGGAGCAGCGCCTCCATCATCCCGAGCTCGTGGTCCTGCGGCTCAAGTCACACTCGCTGTACGTCCATCGCTTCCTTCAGGACCTGCCCGAGAATCCCGAGGCACAGGGCAGTGTTGAAGAAGCCCAGGCCCCCTCGGGCTTTAGCCCACGTTGAGCTCCTGATGAGGCTTGGGCCTCCGAGTGGCAAGATATCCAAGACAAGCCCTGGCCTCGACTGCGGCCACTGTTGGACGTGTTCGGCAACGGCGACGAGTTGCCCACAGGCCTGTGGCCAAACACTTCTTTGACCAATTACTTGACGTGCGCACAGCTACTGTAAGGGCTAGAGTGTTCATCAGTGTTCCGAACTTCAGCAAACAAACCCTCAGCTGAACCCCTTGCCTCGGACGGTGTTCTTTTGGAGAGGCTTGCAGTTCTTCCGGCAGCTGCGCAAGGTGGCTTCGGAGGGCCATCTACCACATCGTGCTTGCGCCGAGCTGGTCAATGCAGGAGAGGGCCGTGCTCCCAAGCGGCATTTGCTGAATCTCATGGACAACGTGGACGCCGTGTGTGCTGAGAATGCAACCAGATTTGTCGAGGAGATCCGTGAGCAGTGGCAGACATCCGAAGACCTTCGCCTGGAACTCCAGCGACGGCTGCAGCTATTGGAGTGGCTTGTGGAGGCATACAAGTTTGATGAGATCGCTTGTGATCGAGACCGGTTGAAACAGCAGATGGCACGAAGCGAGGATCGCACGTTGCTTGAGCTGCAGCGCTTGGTGCAGAATGCCTGCGATGTCTTCAAAGGCTTCAACCAGCGCCAGGAGACTTTCGACTTCTTGCAGCACTTCATGCGAGCAGGCTCCGCCCTCGTGAATCCTTTGCTCCAGCACTTCGCTTTCCTCTTCGCCAGCGAGCACGGCCTCACCGAGGAGGAGGCGAGGTTGGAGTTCGAGGACTTCGGCCAGGTCGTCCAGCGGTGTCATGCGGAGCTTCGGAAGCTCGCACTGGGAGAGAAAGACGGCGCCGTGGACGCAGACGTCTGGCGGCTAGTGGTGGAGGAGTTCCGGAAGCCCGAAGTCAGGATGGAGAAGGAGATCGACTTGCTCTTGGAGTTCTTTGGCCGCCACGTCACCGAGAAGGATGGGGAGGGTTCTGGTGCTGGCGGTGCGGGCGGCTTGTTGTCCAGCATTCGTGGAGTGTTCCAGAAAGGCGGCAAGCCCAGGTTGGAAGCGAGGCGTGAGATGGTCACGAATGCCTTCTATGCACATGTTGCCTCTGGCGCGATCTCGGATGTGGAGCGTGCGTTGCAGTACATGCGCCTCGACTGGGCCGTGGAGTGTGGGACCTTCCAAAAGTTGCGACGCCTGGCGGATCTCACGCTCTCGGCTGAGACCGTGGACGTGGAGGCCGACGCCCTGCGGCTCCAGGAGTTCCGGAATCTGGGCCTGGACTTCGAGGATGCTCGAGAGCTGCACTTCTTCCAGACCCTCTCACAAAAAGTCTGCGTCTTCGAGTTCTTGGTGGAGCAGGGCTTCACCGGACCCCAGTGCCTGCAGCAGTTTCAGCAGAGGGTCGGCATCGTGCGCCAGTTCTTGGAGGAGGAAGTCACGGCCCCTTGGCGAAATGAGGACCCTAACCCCTAAACCCTTGACCCGTAACCCTAAACTGTCAGAGTTTTGTGGGTCTCCCTGCCATGACCAGGTTCGGCAAGCCTTGCTGGAGGAGCTCCAGCACTGCGCAGCCGTGCTGGCTGGCTTCCTGGCTCTGAAGACTCCGCAAAGCGAGGCCGAGCGCTCCGAGCCTAGGCTATTCAGGCTCTTCTGACAGTTGTTTTTTTCCTCGTTTGTTATCTTGCTCTGGGTTTAGGGTTTAGGGTTTCGGGCCAGAGTTGGAGCAGATTTTGTTGGGATTGTGGCCCTTTGAGGAGTCGCTCATTCGGCTGCTGAAGGGGGTTGGTCTCTGCAAGCCTCGACCACGTGTGGAGTCCTTTGCCGGCGTTGCCGCACAGATTCAGCTCATCCGTGCCCTCTTTGCCAATGTTGACCGTCAGGGAGGACAGGGAAGTGAATTGCTACTCTGGTCTGTTGATCAGATTCTCGGCGGGCAACTGGTCCTGCAGGGCTACCAGGCAGACTTCCACTGTTGGTATAGGTACAGAGGCGCAGGGGTGGAGCGCACCGTGCAGGTGTCGTCCACCAGCCTGACAGAGTATTCCACGAGGAGCTTGATGAGCCTGGAGGGATTGCAGGAGAACCCGGAGAAGTTCGAGTTGCTGCAAGCCTTCCTTGAGAAGGTGCCGGCCATTGTGAACAATGACACCGGCCTTGCAGCCACCGCAGCCGCACTTCACAAGATTGGACATCCCAGGTTCCGTCAGAACGTGGAGATTTGCATGAGGAGTGACTTGGCCGTTGAGGCCCAGCTGCAGTTTGAGAGCTTGGGTGCTTGGAAGCAAGAGGTCTTGCACACCATGGAGGCCGCTCCGCTGCTTGGCCTCGTGCCTCAGGGCCAGTTGCATGCATGGCTTGCCCAGTCATACACGGAAGGCCTCACAGGGGATCTGCTGAACTCAATATCTGAAGGGCTGAGTGCATGGAGCCAGTGTAGCTCGGAAGCCCTCGAAACAAAACTCTTGCTGTCGGGCATCCACCTGAACGAGCCGCTGGAAGCCAGTGCGGCTTTGGCGGCCCTCTGCCTTTGCTGTGAGGATCTCGATGTCAGGGACGAATGCTGCGCACACCCAGAGCACGTGTCCGGGCCAGGCCGATTTCAGGTCCAGGCCAAAGACAGCGAGGATGCCCTGAAGAAATTGGTGCACCTCTTCCTGGCACTGGATGGTGGGCCCAAGAGGCTGCCACGACCATCCGAGATCCTGTTCTGTGATGACCGAGTTCGGGAAGCCGAGGTTGAGGCATTTCTGTGGAGATCTCGGAGGTTTCCGCAGCTGCTTTTTGTTCTTGTCGAGCCGAACCGCCTCCCTCCGGAAGGCAAGAAGCTGATCGCAGAGTGGTTGGCAAGCGAAGATCAGCAAGATCGAAGCTCCTCCGTAGGCGTGATCCTGACATCACCCTGGTACATCCCCGCTTCTGCGCAGGTGCGTGAGATGCCGGTGCGCCCCGAGCACGCTGTCCAGGTTTGGAGGGAACAGTGCCCAGCAGAAGTCTTGCTCTACCACTCCAAGCCGTCGGAACCCGAGTCGGCCAGGGGTACTGGCCCCTCTTCGGGGAAGAGTACCTACATCCGGCATCGCTGCAAGCGGGATGACGAGGAGATCATGAGCTGCATCTTGCATGAAGGCTTTGAGCTGAGCGAGTTCATCGCTGAGTCTCGCAGGCAGATCTTGGACAGCAGCCTTGCAGGCCGCCGCGTCGCACTTCACATCGACGTGACGGCATACAGCGACTGGGAGCTCAGCAATGCCTTCCTCCGGCACCTCTTGCTGTGTCAGGTCCTGTATGATCCCACCTCGGGGCAGATGGTCTCTCTTCCAGATGGCACGAGGATTCATGTGGAGGTTGGTGCCATCGTGGGCAAACGAGACCTGCACTCGCTCAGGCCCTATGCCACAGAAGAAACGATGCAAGCACGGTTCCCGCAGCAACACAAGAGCGGGCTTAAACTGACATTGTCACTTCTGTATCCCATTTTGGAGATTGTCGGTCGAGATGTGTCGCTGGAAGTGTCGAGCTTCCCACTCCAAGAGGGAGAGTGTCATTACTCATCCCAGCTGATAAGTTGCTCGGACCAGCAAATCCACGCCCGCTTGGAATGCAACTCCTGTGGTGTAAGACCCATTCGGGGCAGGTGCTACACCTGTCAGGTTTGCCCTGACTTTGACCTTTGCGCTGAGTGCTATGAAAGCTTGCCGGACCATCACGATGCCGGCCACAAATTCCGAGAGCGACAGGCGAGTGCTCTTCCCTTCCGCTTGATGCATGCCTTCTTCCAGCTACACCCCTTGGACGAGGCTCGACGATTGTCACTAGGACGCAGCTGGCATCTGTCTGTGCACTTAACGGATGAGCCGTCATTTCAGAAGTGAAGCCAGCCAGTAAGGCTGGATCTTCGTCCCGGCGACTTGGAGCTGCTGGCGTCAGTGAGAGCGATCGATCCATCTCAGGTGCCTTTAGGTGCCGAGGCCATCGAGGAGATGGGAGACGCAGGCAATGGCTCCGGCTTTGTGGACATTGACTTCCGCCGTCTCAGGGACCCGCCAGATGCAGCCAGCGCATTGCAGATCTTCGCAGCCACAAGTGGCCTTTCGCAGGCACTCACCCGGGCACACGAAGATTTGATTGTGCGCCGGGTAGGGATACTTGGCAATTGGATGGCCAAGTCTCACACCTTTCGTGGATCCGATGGCCGAGAGTTCAACGGACTTGCATCTCTTCTGATGCAAACGATGGGTGTCAACCTGCAAAAGCTCGGAAGGGGAGAGGAGGTCTGCATCCATTTCGTGGTGCCCTACACCCAGGATGCTCAGGAGGACTTCCTGATCTTCGTCCCGTCTTTGGTGCAAAATCCCTTTCAGCCCGATGAGAGCGTTTGCTGTCACGGCCCCGACTGCGACTGCAATGCCACCCGGCTCCAACTGTTGGAGCGGTTTCCCGAGAAAGTCTTCCTCTCCGACCCTGTCTTTCACATCGGTCTGCTGCCCTCCGCCGAGGAGGACGAGCGACAAGGCGTCGAGGCCTTGTCGCTGGCTTTCGGCATTCCACCACGGCGCATTCAGGAGATCTTCGAGAAAGAACGCTATGTTCTGACCCGGGACTTCGCCTGCAAGATTCTAGAGCTCCTGGCCCGGCGTCGATCGCGAGTTCCGACCATCCTCGTGGGAGAAAGTGGGACGGGCAAGACACGAGCGACTCGGCTGATTGAAGAGCTCTGCAGAACCACGATGACTTACTGTTATTTAACGCGAGGCACTGGAAATCCTGACAATCCTACTGCTGGAGTGTGACGAAGTGCGTCCGCCTCTGGCCAAAGTACTCTACAATTTCATGCGGGGCAAGCTGGTGGAAGTCAAGGACCAGCTGATTTTGATCAGTCTTCAAGTGCCTTCTGTATTTCTGTGCATACATACGGGTTGGGATACCGCAGTCCTGGCTTGACCTGGCCTTGATGCTTTTCATAAGTTTCGATCCTGACAAGCAGCGGTCACGATGACTTTCAGTCTTGGACACCTCTTAGGGCTGCAGGATGTGCAACTCCACAGCTTGTACATGCAATGACGCCGTTGAAGGATGCCAACCCGAACAGCCACGCCGTTGGGGTCGTTGAGGATTGCATGGATGTGCCCCCCGACCGAACAGAGACACACACACACACACGCA